AGACAAACAGACAGACAGACAAACAAACAAAGGGGCTAGGGAAGTGGGAATTATGTGAATGAATACTTGTACATGTGGCTATGCAACTTCGCCCATTCTTGCAAGTTCTAGACCATTGCATCATCGCCAAGGGATGTTCTAAGAAAAAATATACTTTCATTCCTGTAATAAGGCGAGTATCGTGACGCCGCATCACGTGAGACGTCGAGTGAAGAAGCACAAGTGGGCCTTTTCCTTGAGTGGAGGAGCTATTACGGTGTGGTCTCACTGGTCTGCCGCCGCCGGGGATCGTTCTCATGACGGTCGAGTGGCAGCTGAGGGGGTAGGGGATAGAGGAAAGGTAGGAGAGAAGGGGGTTTAGGGTGGGGTAAGTGGTTTAATGGGGGAAAGGACGGTTAGTTTGTTCTTGGGCGGATGTTGACTTCTTGACATTGTTGGTGACGTCAGCAATCATGACAAAGTAATGTAGTGGCACTAACAAAGTAGTGAGAAGAGTAGCTTTGATGGTAGTAAAGATTAGCTTGGGAAGGCATTGTCCTTTACTATAACAAGTGAATACTACGGATTGTAACAAACCAAATGCAAATCTTCAACAAAAAATATCATTATATGCAACAAGCTGATACTGTAAACGGGTATGACGTAGTAACAGAGTGGTTGAAGGCGAAAAGAGTCGAGCATTCTTTTGGTCCTCGCTTTATTCCTGTTGCGAGTTGCGGCCTTTCCAGACAGGTATAAGGATGGACGGCTAAAAATAGACACCATTAGTAGCGCTGCCACCTGTCACCTGCTGCCGGAACGCTCTTAACAGTCTGGCGCGAATCCTACGACTCATGATTTCCAAAGGGAACGATCAGCTAATAGGAAAGATTTTTTATTCATTTTCATTTATTATTTATCTTGTCTAGAATTTTTTCAAGGTGAATAAGTGGGCAGGGAGAAGGAATGTGAATTCTTTGGTTTATGAAAAAAATCGGACAAAAAGAGCCAGCTGATGAAAAGGTAGATCATTAGATACGTAGAAAATGTATTCGTAGGCAGGCATAAAACTAGGTACATCAACAGGAAGGGACTCGGCAGAGTGCATGAGCCAGAGGAAGAAGGAGCATGGAAGGGAAAGTGGAAACGACCAAAGTGAAAGCGAGGATGGAAGGATTATAGCACAGGCCTGCAAATTGCTTATGGAAGTAAATACAGGCGCGTCTTTACAGTTGTTGAGTGTTTTATGCTGCACACATTATTGTCTATAGGATGTGTGACAACTGTTGACGTGGCAGAAAATTAGCACAACTGTTTGGTCGTCTGGGTGAAAACACCTGTAAGACGCAGCAACACAATAAGGCAGCGGCTGAATATTTCTCTGTAAAATAATTGCCTTTTGTGTTGAGCAATAGGAGGCTAGCTCGTCGTGACCCGTCTGTTCTCTTTTCCTTCTTCATTCGTGCGGGAAAAAACCGGGGAAATATGTAAACTTCGGTCTGCGCATCAGTTGCAAAAGACAAAATGGTGACAGACTGGATTTTAAACAATAATGCATGTTATACGCCAAGACGCTGTTTATCCAGTTTTCTTTTCCCAGGAGAAATCGCGCCAAATTATGGTATTAGTACGGATGTGAAGGAGTACATCTATCATAGTGATAATGGCAAATAACAAGATGTAGTGCTCCGATCAACCTACGAAAATTGCCTCAATCGGATGTGGCACTTATTTGTTTATTCATATTGCATCTCAGTAAAAAAAAATGTCCATAGTCTGTCCTTCACGCTGACCTTCAAGCTTCGGTTCGGTCCAGAGCTCCCAGTGGCTGAGTTTCGTATCAACACAATAGCAGAAAAAATATCCTATATTGCCCTGTATTCATAAATATATTCTTATTCAGTGTATTGATAAGAATAAATCGATGCTGATATTATCACTGAAAATGCATGTAGTGGACATGATACCATTTTTTTTCTTCTTTCCTTTCTTTCTTGGTGTGAATTATGGAGGTTCTGGGCTTGTTGTAAAAAAGCTTGTGGCAATAATCGATGTTCTCAGAAGGGCAAAAAAAAAAAAAAAAAAAAAACTAAGCATATAATTGGTGAATTCATTTTTTGCATTTTATGTATCCGAATTTAGCGATATTGGTTTGTCCTGATGTAAGTTGCTGTAACACCTGAGTAAATAAACGTCACGGGTAGTGGCAGTTATTGCAATTATACAGCGCAGACTGGAACTTTATACTTAGACCGTGAATGTGGGACGCTAGTAACGTTATGTCATGTGCATGAAGGATATCCTCTGAACAAGGATATATTTTTTTAGATATAATGACCACCACCATAATCGTACCGTGGATTATGGCAATGGTGGAGGACAGGAAGACACGTCCTTGTAATATGATACGTGGTGAGCAGGAGAGGGGTGGTAAGGTGCCTAGGGTGAAGGGGAGGGGGAATTAGAAGGGAGGAGAAGGGTGGATAGAAGAATTTAGGAGACACTGGGGAGAGGGGAGAGT